TTTTAACAAATATAATACGCTTTATCCCTGTGATGAGCACCCATATGCTGTAGAGTGTCTACAGGAAAATATTAAACTTTTTGATGGAATCGTTTCTTACAAAAAGGTGAATATCTCCGAAACCACTCGATGGATCGCGTCCATCCGAAAGACGAACCTTCAATATTATGAGAGCTATGATCGTACCAAATTTCAGCTTGCTATCTTCGTTTTTGCTCATGATATCGTGCGTAGAAGAATAAAAAGAAAAAAACAAGCCGAATATTTTGAAAAAAAAACATTAAGATCGGTTGACTCGTTATTGAGATATTCAAGACATTAAGTTTACATACAAAGTTGAATATCTCCGAAACTAATTGACCGATTGGACCCATCTTCCATACAGGTCCTTGCGATGATAAGAGACAGCTTCATGCCAAATTTCAAGTCGATATCTGAATTGTTACTCAAGTTAGAGCGCGAACAAGGATTTCAAGTCAAAAACAGAAAAATCCAAATACCTCAAAAACTTTGTATGAACAGGCATATATGTTTTGATTGATTTAGATAGAGGACATCATGCCGAATATTTTGAAAAAAAAATTATTGAAANGTATTTATGAAAAATAATAAGGAGAGTATTGATACCGTTTGTTGGGATGATGATCGATTCTCAAGAAAATAAAAATTTCGATTTTTCAATGTCTCCGGAAAGTTTTAAAATTGATATATTTTTTCAAATAATGAAAGAATACCCATCAATTCAATTTCTATCCTCACATTTTGATAGAATACATAAAAAAATAGCAAAGAATAAAAATCGGAGATGAAAAATTTTATCGGATTAATATAATGTAATTTCAACTTGATATTTCGATTTTTGCGTCTGCTAGAGACCGAACAACGATTTCGCGGTAAAACAAGGAGAAACCTTACGCTACTTCCACAAACGAAAACATTAATCCCGCTCCGATTGAATATCCACAATGCCACACAAAAATATTGCCTAATGATTGAAAAACTATGGTTTTTCAGGGAAATTTCAAAGTTGTTTTAACAAATATAATACGCTTTATCCCTGTGATGAGCACCCATATGCTGTAGAGTGTCTACAGGAAAATATTAAACTTTTTGATGGAATCGTTTCTTACAAAAAGGTGAATATCTCCGAAACCACTCGATGGATCGCGTCCATCCGAAAGACGAACCTTCAATATTATGAGAGCTATGATCGTACCAAATTTCAGCTTGCTATCTTCGTTTTTGCTCATGATATCGTGCGTAGAAGAATAAAAAGAAAAAAACAAGCCGAATATTTTGAAAAAAAAACATTAAGATCGGTTGACTCGTTATTGAGATATTCAAGACATTAAGTTTACATACAAAGTTGAATATCTCCGAAACTAATTGACCGATTGGACCCATCTTCCATACAGGTCCTTGCGATGATAAGAGACAGCTTCATGCCAAATTTCAAGTCGATATCTGAATTGTTACTCAAGTTAGAGCGCGAACAAGGATTTCAAGTCAAAAACAGAAAAATCCAAATACCTCAAAAACTTTGTATGAACAGGCATATATGTTTTGATTGATTTAGATAGAGGACATCATGCCGAATATTTTGAAAAAAAAATTATTGAAATGGTTGGGTATTTTCCGAAATATTTGCGAGAAAATGTTAAAAAACGAATGGCTATTGCTCAAAAACTAATGGACGGATCAAGCTGAACTTTGGCATGGAGTTAGTCTCAAGTTATACCAATTAACTGAAAAAATTTCAAACTTTTTGGAATGATTTTTCCCGTTTAATTATCAAATTTAGGAAAAAATGACCACCGACTGGACAGTGTCACGCACGGACATGGTCCCCAAACTTCGTACTTTTCCGTTTTAGACCATTTTGCTTCATTTCCAAGCAAAATTAGAAAATATGAAAATCTAACGATTGCAATGCTTCCATTCGGAAGCAAAAAGTACTGATGTAGATCGACATCGACTTGATTCAAGACGAGATACTCAAACTACGCCAATCCGGATTCCGGGCCTGATGTAAGTCGAAAAGTGGTCTATTTCAAGTAGAAGCATGTCAAGCCGACATCGGTCTGAATCAAGCCGCAAAATCAGTCTGAATGAGAGCGAAAAATTGACCTGAATCAAACCGAAGACGGTCTGAATCAAGTCGAAAAATCGACTTGAATCAGACTGATATGCCGGTTTGCATCTGATGTCCGAATCCGACTTTTGATTCATGGTGTCAATTCGACATGAAACAAGTCGATTCCCGGCATGATTCAGGCCGACTTGATTCAGACCGATTTTTCGATCTGATTCAAACCGAAATCTGTTAAATAATGTCTGTAATCTGTCTGAAATTTTTTTGGGTAAAGTGATACGGAATATGTCGTCTCTTCCAGTCGATTGCACGATTAAACTGTATTCTTCAACAGTTGATTCTGAGGGTTCCAAATATGAGACTCATAATTTGGGCAACCTCACACAAGCTTTTTTCACGAATTGAGATGTCGAAATTAGAAAGAACAATTGACAGGCAACTATGGATTTATCATTTTTGTAATTCACTAGTAGCCTAATGAATTATCCCATGTAATACCACTCGAGCTTCAAAATTATTAGGTATTTTCCGATAGGTTTGTTGCAAACAAACAAAGGAGTCAAGTTTTTCAGACTAAAAAATCACGAATGCGAAGCACAAGTGATTGTTCCTGAAAAACTTCATAAGTTCGTTTGTATGTAGGGAACCTTAAGGAAAATACCTGATTAATTTTGAAGCTGGAGTGATATTCGGAAGAGAATTTTTTGATCCAAATTTCGGCCAAAGGAGTTGCAATCTGAGACTAAATCCATCTGTCAGCCAAAGTGAGGGACTCACTCGACCAGGAAATCTTCTGTTTTTCATATATATATATAGGTATATATATCAACATGAAAAATTAACAGTGGAATTATCAAAAATTATCAGTTGAATATCCCGTTGACTAGGGTCAATCGTCCAGTGTTCGAACGAATAAGGTCAGAGTTATTTTTGACGTAGATTTAAAAATATAACCAAGTCGAAAATTGATTTAAAAATAATTATAACTCCCCTGCACATCTCCATAGATAATAGAAAAAAATATTATGGATATTAATTGACGATACAATTAATGATATGAATACAAAAAGCTGAAAATGTGTGAAAACCCACTAATCGAAATGCGTATTCTGTAATGGGCATGTGCTATTGGCGACGTGTCGTCGAAAACTGTTTTTTTCGCTGGTAATAAGGTAACTTAGATATTTTCAATCATCACAATATCATTTGGAAATGTCATAATTTTATTTTTCATGTATAATGCGAGGCATCTCTACCTTCTACTAATTTATTTTATAGAAAAAGTACCAATTAGTTCGATTACTGGTCTGGTTCGAACACTGGTTGGTTCACCCTATATAAAATAACAGTCGAATAGTGCCATTCTATTAGCTCAAATTTATATGGGAAAAATTCTCAGCTATAATACCCCAAGACCTTCAAAATTATCGGATATTTGCCAAATGTTTTGTTGCACAGCAACGAGAGGGATCAGTTTTGCAGATTAAAATCCCGAGCGCGCAGCGCGATCGTTGATATGCAGGAAAACTTGAGGAAAATATCCGATGAATTTTTAAGGTCGAGGGGTATTCGGAGGACAATTTCGTCAATTCTGATTTTGGCCGATCAGGGTGCAGTGTTCGGGGTTACGGGACACATTTCACCAAAATGTGAGGAATATCTGTCAAATTCGTAAAAAACAATTTACAGGCTACAGGGAAATTATCAGTTTCCCTGCAGCCGAGGAAATTATCAGTGTGAAACGCGTCACGTGACCCCGAATACTGCACTCTGGTCAAAATCAGAATTGAGGAAATTGTCGATATAATTCTCTTCTGATTGGTCCACGAGACGTCGAATACCGCAATTATTTTGCCCGGTAGGGTGATGGGAGAAATAATCAAAGTAAAAACGACGTGAATGCGTCGAATATTGCGCTCTGACTCGACGAACCGAGGGAGAAAATTCTCATTACAATTCATTCGGTAAATTTTGCCCTATCTTGGGAATAATTTCCATCACACATTCTTCTCACCGTAAAAGTATTCGTAATTGCATGAAATCTCTAAAGATTGTTAGGAATTCCACAAGATCTTCTTCTGAGCTTCCCGAAAATTTCTGGAAGTTTATCGGAATTATTATTCCCTCGCCTGGTTTTCGCAAAATAATCTCCACGGAATTCGCTTATTCATCCTATTTTTTATTCTCAGGTGTAAATTGTCGCCTTTATTTACTCAACTTCTGTTACACAAATTCCATACGCATTGTTTGGAGCTCTCAGTGTGTATCGGGGCACTGACGCCCGGCGACACTGTCCTGGTAACAAAGAATTGGACGTGGTGTTACGATGAATATACAGCTGACGAGGCGAATCGCCGTGGGTACACACACGAATATAAAAGACCTCGCCACTGACTAGAGGGGGGGAACAACTTGAATAACCATTCTCTGATCCAATAAACTCATGAGTACAGCCCACATATGTATTGTACGTGATGATAATTCATATCATTGCACAAAAACTCATTGGGCCAATGATTGAGAGCAATAAAAATATGAGATAATTGATTTATCTCGGGTATGTTACAGTTGATCCCGTGAAAATCCAACCAATATTGTGAGCAAATATGATGAATGCGAGGCGAATCGAATAGTTGTTTTATTTACATTTGTTATCAGAGTTCATTAGACGATTGGGGATAATCTAGACGTTTGAAATCCTTTTCAACATTTATAATTGAACATCAGGTCTTCTCTTTAAGCCTCATTTCATCCAGGCTTACTGAACATTTTTCAATGATTTTATTATTTCAAACTTGAAGATATAGATTTTATTTTTCATCTTAAAGTGTTGGGAAACATTTTTTAAATCTAAAAACAGGACGGTTTATTTCTATAGTAAAATTCGTTAAATTTTTTTTTTTTTCAGATGACGGCTATTGAAATGAGCAAAATAATCATTTAATTCTTAAGAAATTTAGTCTATTTATCTCTTTGTATAAGTGGTGTGGGCGTGCAGTCTGCATGCAGTTGTCTATTCTACAGATGACGTCACAGGACATCTTGGAAAGAAACACAAGGTACATACTTGAGGTCTCCTTTGCCAAAGGTTACTCTATGCCCGAAAATCGTGAAGAGGGGACCACTATAATAAATACTTAACTCCAACTCAAGCCTTGTGTTTTGGTGTAAAGTTATTTTTTCTGTTTTCCTTATCCCATAATTTCCAATAACGACCTTCTTTCATAACCAAAACAAAGTGCAATTTTAAAAATAATTTTTTCATAAACATAACGAATTTAGATTTCTACCAAAAATCGATTCGATGAAAAAAAAGGTTTCCGGAAGGTAAAAAAATAGTGATTACTGACTCATGAAAAGGGAATGTTTGAAAACGCAATGATTGTTAAAAAATTTCATTTGAATAACTCTGATTACTCATAATTTTCTTTCAAATTTTCACCCAATTCAATGGACAAAATTGTTCAACCTATGAAAGGTAAAATCCTTAAACGGGAAAATAGGTGGTTTGAAAAAAATGGGGCGAAATTTCTCTGCCTTTTGTGTGACGCCAGCACGCGCTACCTTTTATATCATCACGTTCTCAAACAGAAAGAATTGTTTTCCATTAAATAATAAAACCGTCGATATTTTACACAGACGTTCATCAACTGAAATCGATTGCAAGAATTCGAATGTAATCTCTCCGAAGCATGCCTCTGACTAATCAATTCCGCACTACCGAGAAGGCAACCCAAGAGGCATGACAAGTGATTATAACTTTTAAAAAACCAGAAAGCACAGAACAACGGAACATCTCTCGTTAAGCGGATAATGTCCCTCTATAAATATGAGACATGTGTCTCATACATGCCCTCCCACATTGCGTACGCATTTGTTGAACCATGCACTTATTTTTTCATAATATTTTTTCAACCTTACATCGTCATCCTCAATCAAGAGATCAACACAGGCGGTCACATTAGACACAAAAAGAAGGAAAAAGAGTTGAGAGGAATACGAAAACGAAATGAAGTTGCATGAGTCACGGTCCACGCATTCCTCCGTGATGTCACCACTACGCGACCACCAAGAGGAGTTTACTTATAATATGAGAAATTTAGAGTAAACAATGAACAATAAATAATGAGTGCGATTTACCGTTTTGAGAAAATGCTGTGACAGTTTGCACGGGGAAGACGTATTCGCTGATAGGTAACTGTCAACTAAACGCACTAGAACGCTTATTTCCCTACAACGTGATACGTGAGACCTCCCCACCTTTTCTCAGCTGATAAGAAAACCGCCGGCTGTTGCACGTGATTTATTTATCACTTACTTGTGAGATAAACGCGGGAGATAGTGTTCATGCAAAGGTTGTTTCCTTCATGTGGGACATTCCCATTTCCTTGTTTCTCGGGGCTTGACAGTTTACCATTGGCTGTCAGGAAAATGTACTGGTCAGTATTCATTATGGCAGAGAGTAGATCGAGATCGTCGAATTTACGCTGTTCGGAGTAATCTTATCGGGATAGTTATTCAGCTTTCAATTAGGGGTTCTGGTTATCGGAAACTCATTACGAAGGGTAACGTTTAATTATTTTGTTTAGATATATTTATTAGCTATCGCGATTGATTAGGAGTGTTTATGTACATGCTTGCGGAAAGTTCACAGATTTTTTGAGACAGTGGGATAGTTATATTGGTGGAAATTTTCATCTTCAATTTTACATGGAACTTTGGACATGGATAATCAGTGTCATCCAAATTAAGTTGTGTGAAAACCTTTTCGAAACTTTTTGCTTCCGAATGGAAGCATTGCAATCGTCCGATTTTCACATTTTCTAATTTTGCTTGGAAATGATGCAGAATGGTCTGAAACGTAAAAATACGAAGTTTGGGGACCATGTCTGTGCGTGACACTGTCTAGTCGGTGGTCATTTTTTCGTAAATTTGATAATTAAACGGGAAAGATCAGCCCAATAAGTTTGAAATTTTTTCAGTTAATTGGTATAACTTGAGACTAACTCCATGCCAAACTTCAGCTTGATCCGTCCATTAGTTTTTGAGCAATAGCCATTCGTTTTTTAACATTTTCTCGCAAATATCTCAAAAAAGACCCAACCGATTTCAATAATTTGTTTTCTAAATATTTGGCATGATGTCCTCTATCTAAATCAATCAAAACATATATACCTGTTCATACAAAGTTTTTGAGATATTTGGATTTTTCTATTTTTGACTTGAAATCCTTGTTCGCGCTCTAACTTGAGTAACAATTCAGATATCGACTTGAAATTTGGCATGAAGCTGTCTCTTATCATCGCAAGGAATTGTATGGAAGATGAGCTCAATCGGTCAATTAGTTTCGGAGATATTCAACTTTGTATGTAAACCTAATGTCTTGAATATCTCAATAACGAGTCAACCGATCTCAATGATTTTTTTTTCAAAATATTGGGCTTGATGTCCTCTACCTCAATCAATCAAAATATATATACCCGTTCATGAAAAGTTTTTGAGAGATGTAGATTTTTCTGTTTTGGACTTGAAATCCTTGTTCGCGCTCTAACTCGAGTAAAAATCGAGATATTCGAGATATAAACGCATCCATTCGGAAGCCCGCAATCAATAGATTGATGGCGAGAAAAGAATAGACGCCCTACTCAGAATATGTACAGCCGCATGGCTGCAGTCGCCTACTTGTTTTTATAATTGAATGGTGGAAATCGTTTCATCTTTCTAGGCATTGCAGGCGTTTTTGGTCAATATTGAATATGAACAAATTTTTTACTATTTTGAAAAAATTATTTTTTACGTGAATAGTTGACAATAGGTATTCATCTCTGAGAAAAGTTTTTTTTTGTCCATTACATGAATCTTTCCTCTTCCCGAATTTTTCTCAGATTTACGAAATGTTTTCTGATGGTTCAAAATGAAAAATTAAATTTGGATCTTCAAAGTTATAGTATTGAAAGCATTGCAAAATTTTCGGCACCTTAGGGTCATTAGAGTTCAAATGGAGGCTATGAAAGTTGACAACGAACGTAGAAGAGGATTTTATCGAAGAAAAAGTGGTACTTGGATATTTTTTTTTATTTACGCTAGAAACCCTCCTGGGGTTTATTCGGCGAGGTACTTGAATATTTACCAAAAACGCAGAAAATTTCGGGAGAATTTGAATGAGAACTAAATGTGACGAAGAGCCATATCCGGAAAATAAATAAAAACAATTTCTGATTGTTAGTTCGATTTGAAATTCGATTTAGAGTCTTCTTAAAATTAAAAATTAGTTTGTACTACGGGATGCGTTGGGTATTTTGACCAGTGTAACATACATTGGGTAAAAACATATCCAGAGTAGATGAATCGAATCTTTTCCAATCATCAACAGCTCGAAATCGACAGAGTGAAATTCAAACTATGGTTAAATTTTCGAAGCCGAGTTTCAAGTTCTTCTTTTCGGATTCCAAACATTCAATTATTCGTATTTGTTAGCTTCAGATAAATAAAAATTTTAATGAAATATCCCATTTTCCGGTATTTTACCTACAATGGGCAATTAGAATCGCCTGACATTGAATATATGTTGCCATGGAATATTGTTGATTCAATAAGATAACAATCATTATAATCTTAAGGGTGTTTGATAATAAAATGTCAAACAAAAAAATTTTCTTTCCCTTCACTGATAGAGAAAAATATATTAATCCATCCGATAAAATTTCAAACAAGTGACTGGAACTAAATATCGCACCTCCAGAAAGCATGGCATTAAATGGACGTAGGGTGATGAAACATATCTCGTAATCACCCCGGTCCCTCTTTGTTTTTCGCCGCCATTGCATTTATCACATCATTCCCCATATATCCAACTTTAAAAAAAAATTGTAATATCTAGGCGGGTAAAATGTTCAGTTTAATCATAACTTAATTAAGAGCCCATGTATACGGAGAGAAATATTCAGTAAAAATTACCGAACAATTCACGTAATCCACAATGGGGAATCGTGTTCCGGAAATTTTTATAGGAATGAAAGAGAAGAAATCTGAAACGTTCAGTGAATTTTTAGGTTCATCACCGAAGAAAGTACGAAATTGTTACGTAATTTTTCCCCAAGAAGTAAAATCTTATAGAAACTTGCCAACTTATTATGCCTCCAAAATCAAAAATTCTTGAACGTTCAACAATTTTTATGAAGCTGGTGAGTTATTTCTACGTTCCGTTCCGTAAAAGTTCTCAATCGTTGTAGAAAAATTACGGAACGACTAGCTACGGAGTTGTCCCCACAGCGGTGAGTCATTAGACGGGTGGTTCATTTTTATGGAACAAAAAGTAGAATTTACGTGGCGATTCGTCCAATTTCAGTTCCGAATCACACTTTTTATTTAATGTTACTTCGCTCGCGGATTGCGTTTCGAAACGTAATTTTTACGTTTTTTTCTGGTAATTTTTATTGAATTTTTCTCTCCGCGTATGCGGCTCATTTTGTTCATTCAATTTCTGAACACGTAGAAATTATAACATTTCCACATCGTCACCAATGTTTACCATGCGTCTGATACTATTAATGAAAAAAAAAACGTTTTTTAGTGAATACTGGAAAATGTAATTTTGCCAAGTCATACATGACACCGATAAGATTAAAATATTCACATTCATTCAAAGAAAATTCAACGTAATCCAATAATTATTAAAAATAGTAATTATTAAAAGAATCGTAACATGCAGACAGAATATCCAACGCCTATTTTGAATTAAATTTGAGTCATTCTTCTGTCTACATTCATTAAACTTTAATGGAAAAATTTATTACAAAAGTTCTCGTTCATTGAGCTACTCACATTCATTCATCTGTGACTGCTTTAATTACCCCAACTTTCACAGTTTTTTTTCGTTATATTTTGTTTTGTCTTTCTATTCTCGTTTCAATAGAGTTCCACAACAATTGTGGGAAAAGACGAGTCACCGGCTCTCACCTTGCTCCATATCATTGTAACCACTCATTGTGACACTTGCGAGTAATTTGCAACAATGACACGTCTTGAGTTTCATCGCGGGTTAATTGAGAAATTGAATTAATCAATGAATCATATATTGCTCCTCTTACCTTGATGATATTAAGAAACGTTGCATGCAAAAAATAAGGACACTCAGCTAAAACCAAAGTAACAAGAACAAAACGTAATAATGAAGCCTTTGGAAAACGACAAAATCCCATTTTTTGCGTTGGCGCTTGATGTAGTGTGCATATCATCCATTTGGCGTGCAAATAATTTCAATCACTCGAATGATGAATATATTTATCCATTTCCGTATCCTCATAATCATGGTAAAGATACAATCACGTCGAAAGCATAAAAAAACATGGAACTAAATAAATATAAAGCGCAAAAATAAATTAAGACAATTGCATACATGGCGATAATATTTATTGGCAAAAAAGAAAAAAACAACAGTATTATATATAATGCACTATAAATCCCTCAAAAACTATAACAAGTATTCATCAAATATTTACCCAATTCGAAAATAGCCTGATCTATTGAATAAGTCGATAAATATCAATATTATTTTGTGCTCTGTTATAATTGTATTTATTCCAAGCTCGTACGATCTACTGGTAATTTATGTCGTTAACGATGCCAATTAATTGAGAATTAATAGTCATCTTTAATACCTTTCATTTAATACTTCCTCTTCTTTCGTCTAAATGATACGAATTTGAATGGTTATTGTTGACTCAATTTTTATGGCATTTTTGTTACAATATAAAATATGTGCAAGTGCGGTGCTTATGCACTGAAAAAAGGCAAAATCTTGAACAATAATTTTCAATAAAAATATATAAAATTTTGGACGATTACTTAAACTACAGTGAAAATAAATTGCAGAACAAACACAATTCATGGCATTAATCCGCCGGCTTTACTTAAACTATTAAAAAATATATAACATAATAACATGATATGAGTAATGGTTACCATCACAGATTTATTCTTCCAATTATCCACAATACCCTAAGAACACTATCATTTCGTCTGAATCACGGAAAATATACTTGATTCAAGTATATTTTATACTCAATTAGGGGATGGGTATTTTAATTCGAAGATGACTGTATTGTATCAGGCCGGGTTGTAGCAAGCCCTCTTAAGGGTAACATAAGAATCAGATACTAAGTGTCAGAATATAAGGGTCGAAAAGTGGAGGTTCAAAAATAAGGGTCAGGATATTAGGATTAGAATATAAAAGTAAACAACGTGGGTGTCAGGCAATGAGAATCTAAATATACACCCACTGTTTTTACTTTTATATTCTAACCCTAATTTTTTTATCCGAATATTCTGGCTCTCTTTTTTTAACCCTAACATTCTGACCCTCACTTCTTCTTCTTTACATTCAAGCCCAGTTTTTGAGTCTAGTAGTCCGACCTTCATTTTTTAACCTCCACTTTTGGACCCTTGTATTGTCACACTTATTGTCTGACCCTTATATTACAGAGTGCTTGGTACAACCCGGGCTGATACTAAATAATCATCTTGGAAATGAAACATCCATTCGCAATTCGAGTATATTTTTTCCCGTGATGCTAAATCTATCATGCGTATATTAATTCGTTATTGATAATGAACGTTAAAAAATGATTTTCACATTATTAACAGTCTGATTTGAAATTGTGAATATTAAAATATGGAGAATGCAACGATAAAATGAACAATAATGGGAAAAACCCATTGTTTATTCGCAAACAGCAATACGGTATAGAGCACCACCAAAAATTATGAAACCAGCAATTAACGACTGGTTATTAAAATTACTGGTATATCCAGTGAATAAAAGTGAATTAAAACCCAGTCCACTTGTGGGGGAAGAGATGTATATTCAATGATATCGACGGTACAATGGTTACTTGCCACAACAAATATGTACGATACACACATAATATTTTTACGTTCCTCATATTTGCACCCAAAAATGGATATTAAAATGTATATAAGAAAAATATTAAACTCAGTGTGATGAATAATTTTGTATTCATTCGTTTTTTTCTACTCGTTTCAAATTTATAAAAAATTGAGTAAAAAATTCATAACAATGCAGAGACGATTAAAATTGCTCGTTAAAAATTTTGTTGCAACAAAGTGGCAGAACGAAATTAGGCAAAGTGGGGTGAAATGAATACTTTTAGCTTTTTTTGAATGTAGATAACTCATTGCATGGTCGACGACATCGGAAGAAAATAATTGTATGAAAAGGCTCGACACTTCGCACTGCATTCTCTCCGTCGCGAGTCTAAAGTGAGTTCAATTAATGACGTTATTTCCGAGTTATCGACATTTTGGTCCATTTCTACCCCATTATCTCTCATGTTCAAAGATTCAATGCAGACTATTCAGAAAATATCCGGAAGCTAGTGAATTCATGAAAAACTGTCAGATTGAGAGAAAAAACGGTTTAATATCACTAAATTAATTTTTCCAGCCCAATGTATCATCCCTCGACGATAGATTACTTCGGACAAGAATGCCGTAGAATGAGTTAGACCATGTACGAATTTCGTGAAGCGTTCATGACTTGAATATAAATACTTCATGATGAAATGAGAATTTCATGGCTCGAAAATAGTATATTGCAGTGGCTGTAGTGGTCACACGGGGAGTGTGTGGCTCCGGCGGTCATCCAAGCTAAAGCAGCGTTCAGTCTGCCCAGTACTTGGATGGGTGTCCACTTAGGCACACCTAACCGCGTGGGACTACAGTCGCTAGGCACGAATGTAGGGAACCACTGTGCCCATTGAGTCAGTGTGACCAATGGACACAGTGGAAGCCTGCATTATCGGCCGGCTGCACGACTGAGGTTTCCCATGGTTTCCCTGGCAGTCCAATCCCGAATGGGGTGCAGTTGGGGATAAAGTAAGTCGGCCCATGGTAACGCAGATGGGGAAGGGAACAAAATGTAAAAACCCGAGAGGGTATACATATGGAACCAAAATTAAAAAAAAGAGTTTATGTCGCCATGCAATAAGTCGAGTTTATCGCACGCTGCGCTTCGCGCAGCCTGCTCAAAACTCGACTTCTGCACGACTTGACATAAAATATTATAGAGCACTCGGTAATAAATTTCGTTTTCAACAAATGTGTGTACAGACCTCGCCTTCGGCTCAGCCTGTAAACTACACATTCATTGAAATCAATAAGTAATTTGTGCCCTTGTACTCTAATGTACTAATATTGTGTTACTAGTGTGTACAGTTCCACTTCTTCACACGCACGTGTATCTCATTCTGTTTTTTGTGGTACCTCCCGAGTTCACTGCTCGGAATGGTAGTGGGGGTCATGAGGTTGTTTTTGTGCACGAGTGCATAAAGTTCAAGGTTTGCGAAGATTTACGCCCGAGAATTCACTTTACACATGCCATGGGGAAAACATCAAACTGTTTCGAAAAATGCACTTTTGAGGCAGTTATCACAAAAATGACATTTTTGTGGCAGGAGTTGAGAAAACAGTTAAAATTAGTAAATTCTTCTACTCAGTAAAGATGAATCAGGGACTTTCGCATTGAATCAATGCAGAATTCATGCAGAGAAAAACCTCTAAAACATTCCTGAAAGATGATTATCGCTTGTTAACTTCCCGACCCGAAGGGAGGAAATTATTGCAATGACCCTGAAGATCGAATGTGGAATTTCCGTGATTTCTCCACGTATCTTAGCCTCTAGAACTATCCTGATACGTTTTTAAAGACATGTCTGTATGTGTATGTGCGTGCGTGTGTATGTATGGACGTAAGTGACCAAAATGGTGTTCAATAACATCTTCTGAACAAATGAAGCGATTCAATTTTTTTTTAATCGATGCGTATTAATGTCACTTAGAGCTGATTAGTTTATGAAGACGATCATCTCAGCAGTTCATTAGTTGTTTGCATAAAACATGTGAAAAAGTCGAAAGAAATGAGTTTTCTTTGAAAATTCAATATTTTTGCCGAGAATAATGATGGAATTTGATTTTTTTAGTACGATCGATGCATCTACATGTAATTAAATTTTGATTGAACTCTAAGCAACATCGTCTCAGCTGTTTTCTCATTATCCGAAGGGAAACTTCAAGATTTGCATTTCTTTATTCTAATAAACGGAAAAATGGGAATTGGTTGGGAAGTTGTAGGTTCGACCCGTCATGGGTCACACCTACTTCAACCCAATCGCAATGGGAGCGAGCGAAGCGAGCGATCAATAACCCAGTCCAATTTTTGTAATGACCCCGGAAATTGAATGTGGAATTTCCATGATTTCTCCACATATCTTAGCCTCTAGAATCATTCTGATACGTTTTTGAAGACATGTCTGAATGTGTGCGTGCATGCGTATGTATATGTATATACGTATGTGACCAAAATTTTGTCCAACGATATCTTCTGAACAAATAAAGCAATTCAATTTTTTTTTCAATCAATGGATGTTAATGTGACTTAGAATTGATTAGTGTACGGAGATGGTCGTCTCAGGGGCTGGTTAGTTATTCGCATAAAATGTATATTAGAAAAATGAGTTTTTGTTGAAAATTCAATAATTATATCGAGAATAATGATGGGATTTGTTTTTTTTAGGACGATCGATGCATCTACATATAATTCGATTTTGATTGAATTCAACATGATCTCAGCCGTTTTCTCATTATCCGAATGGAAACTTCAAAATTTGCATTTTTTCATTCTAATGAACAGAAAAATAGGAATGGATTGGAAACTTATTGGTTCGACTCGTAATGGGTTACATTCACTTCAACCCCCCCCCCCCCCCCCCC